GATCTATATATACATCACCGTGAAGATCTATATATACATCACCGTGAAGATCTATATATACATCACCGTGAAGATCTATATAAATCACCGAACCGATTACAGTGAAAGAAATGTACAAAATTAATCATCTTATACTTTTGTCGTTTAAACATATGTGATTTTCATTTAATGTGTCTATGTTATTTTTAGGCCATAATTAAAAACTATAAAATATTTAATATTTTATTCCTTATTATCTAACCACGTGTGGTGAATTGAATGAAAATGTTTTTAAAACGTCTTTTCATTTCTAACAGATCAACGGTTTGTGAAAAATTCTTGATTTACTTTTTTCTCTTTAATACGTTCGAACCTTCTTTAAATATTCAACTACTAAACAATTTCAAATCTTTGATTTTTCTGTGTCAATTATAAAACAAAGTGTAAAAGTATTTAACATGCCATGCAATGTTAAAGTTCTCATATAATTTAGTCTAACTAGTTAAAATATACAACTCTGATCGCTTTGGATTTTAGCATAACAAATACAGAAACAGTCATAAGTTTGTAACTTACAATCATGAGAGAGAACAATTAACACTAAATCAAGTGGGAATGAAGATATTACTTATTTTAGGCGTCTAAAAAATCTGTTCATCATATCATGAAACAAAGATATAAGTTCTTTTTTTTCCATTGTTTAATTTGATTTCACTTTACTTGAAAATTATTATAATTTCTATATTCTTTATAAAAGTCCTCTCGATTCTACAGCGATAAAGCAGGTTGAAATGCGTGTATAAGTTATTTTACAGGATTATTTACACAGGAAACTCCGAAGAGGTTTTCCTTTCAATAAGTGATGAATATTGAGCCGCAATTAAAGATTTAGTAAAAACGTAATCTGTTTTTGGTATTTAAACATTTACACCCCTGGTGGTGGGTCCTCCGGTAGGACAGTAGTAATTCTACGGACTTACAACGCTAAGATCCAAGGTTCGATTCCTGAGTAAACACCGCAGATAGTCCAATGTGGCTTTTCTCTGAAACAAACAAACCTGGTGGTGGTCGTAGGGACTCATTTATCGTCATACGTTTTTCCTTCCAAACAAGAAACTACAGTGTTAGAAAAAGTGTTAATCTTTGTTTAGTTTCATGTAATCACCAATCAGATGGTTTAAAGAGGGGGTATGCTTATCACTTTAAAGTGAACACTTATAAAACGCTTATTTAATGGTTTAATTCGTTCAGCTTACTCTTGACAACAAGTCTGTCGAGATAACAGCAAATCAGTTTTGATATGAACAAACAATCTTGGCTTATTCGAAATGAGACGGAACGGTTTTAACGTAATTATGGTTTTCCAAAACCTGCATTTTTCGGAATTCGTCCCCAACAACCATAGTATGAAGAAGCGACCCGCGTTTATTCTTTACATTAAAGGGTTGTCCCACTACTTACAGCTACCATGACGGTTTTTACTACAACATAATTTATATATAAGTTAGAAACACCGTGAAAATCATAATTTGGAATTTCCAATCATGGCACAGAATTAATTGTATATCTTTGCAAATTCAGTCAACTCTGTACGTACTTACACTGTAAACATACAAACTGACAGTAAGCTATTACACCACTCACATATGAACATATATTATTAAGTGTAAACAAACTTATCATATCTATACATATCACGTTGATACTGCTAGCATAAGCTATCTTTAACAAATTAAAAAACAAGAGTTCGAAATACGTTACTCCAATATTAGCTCAAAAGTTGCGAAGAACAGTAGTAGAAACTAGGGTAGAAAAAAAAGTTTTCAGCACACCTGGGCGCAAACAAAAATAGGCCCTTGTTTACATAATGATAAGGTTAGATAAAACTGAAACCAAAAATGTTTACGTATCGAAATATTGCCTGTATATGACACATGTTTTGGTTTAAATGCTAACAACTTATGAGTGAAGGCGAATATGTTATATCAACCACACTACAACTGTCGTATGCCCGATTCTACATACGCTATGAATGACGCATCAGTCTTGAAATAAAATATTCAACAGGTGGGTGTCACAAAACGTTTCTGGAGGTCACTTGGAATCATTTTTGTTCGTTAAGCAGAAAAGCGTATTTGTAACAGTGAATTACAACAAAGTAAACACACTTTTCACTCCCCCATGTGCCCCCAGTGGCACAGTGCGGGATTATACTGCTAGAAACCAGATTTCGATACCCGTTATGGGTAGAGCACAGATAGCCCTTTATGTAGCTTTGTGCTTAATAACAAACAACAACAACTCCCCCCCCATGTTATTTTATATCAAATAGACACCAAAAAAATCAATCAAAAGCAAAAGTCATTCTAGCCTGAAATGTCAAAAATATAATTTTAAAGATTAAAATCAAGAAAAACATTTAATTCTGTTTTAAAACGAGTCTTTATAAAAGTTGTCGTTTAGAAACAGGCACCGTTAAGTATAATACTAAACCAAAAATAGAAGTTTCACGATATTCAAAGTTTGTATTTTATTCGACTAAAGTAAGCAAAGCATACTTGTGAAGTGTGATTTGTAAGTTTCTCTAAGTGAGTTACTTCTTCACTATGGGATATCGATACTCGTTTGTTCGTATATTAACAAATATTCCTTATATCCAAGAAGCATATCTTCTTAACCAAAACAAAGAACCACAAATATCCCGATAACTTTTTAACATATATTTACACGAAGAACCACAAGTATCCTGATAACTTTAACATATATTAGCACAAAAAATCACAAGTATCCTGATAATTTTTTTAACATATATTTGCACAAAGAGCCACAAGTATTCTGATAACTTTTAACATATATTTGCACAAATAACCACAAATATCCTGATAACTTTTTAACATATATTTGCACAAAGAACCACAAATATCCTGATAACTTTTAACATATATTTGCACAAAGAACCACAAGTATCCTAATAACTTTTTAACATATATTTGTACAATAAACCACAAGTATCCTGACAACTTTTCAATACATAAATTTGCACAAAGAACCACAAGTATCCTGACAACTCTCTAACATATATTTGTACAAAGAACCACAAGTATCCTGACAACTTTTCAATACATATTTGCATACACTGTTTGGAAAGGAATATTAGCACGTTCATTCTTTAGGCACTCTCTTGTTATTTATTTTTCCATTTTATTTCATACCATGAATTACAACCTGTTTGGTGTATATGGATACAAAGGTAATGTTATTTCCCGTTTTTCATATATATATATTTAAACAGCAAATACAAGCTGCAACCTTCACAAGGGCAAAACGGTCATATTTATTTAATGCCAGAAAAACACAAATCGTATACTAAAGTATTTGTTACAGACAATAGTTACGCTTACTTTCTATTGTTCAGGAATATACTTGTGGTGGCGTGATAGTCTTTCGATCAAATTATATAAACAATACACACAAAAGCCCTTTGACCGTGGTCGCTGACTGTTTTGTGCGATATACGTCTACGATAAAGCGAAATCAGGAATTGTAAAGTCAATCCCGAACAGTATCGGTCTCTATCACTCATTTTTTTTTTCCATACTAGAATTGTAAGACTTCAAAGAATAGACTGTGGCGTCTGAAAGTCTTGGAAAAACGAGAGGCTTGTACGCTATCTCATACAGACGATAACTTAGCGTTTGGCCGATAGGGGATCAAGCCACGCGTCCTGCGCGCGACCCAACAAACAGACTGACATGCGACAAAGTGTCCGCTCTTTAGGGGCGGCGCTTAGTATTCATAAGCTCAGTCTTTTTAGTGCAAGCGAAGCCTGGTTTGGGACATTTCATCCCGCGCTGCTGTAGTTCAAACACTTATATTCGGAAGACTCGTCAAATTTTGATTATATTCAGTGACGGTTAAAATATTATGGACACACAAGGGTATAAACGTTGATCCAGTTTGCATTGATCGATTGTCCAGAAGTGTTTTTTTAAAAAAATAAGTTGTCATTATGGATTCTTTTACCGTTTTTGCTGGAAATCCACAAAAAATGGAAACTGCCACATGCGTCTTGGTAACCACAAGTCCTATTCCCTCAGGACTGAATTTTTCTGCTGCCTCCACAGCTCAACAGTCCGGGACTAGGATTGCCATCAAGAGAAACAAGACTAACTCGATGGTCAGTGGGGGGGCAACGCAAGAGCTACTACGGTGTAAGCGGCGTATTCAGTTATCTCAGCTGGGTTGTTCATCGCCACAGGCTCGGCCAGCCACCGTGTCTAGGAGAAACGAAAGAGAGCGAAACCGTGTGAAGTTAGTAAATTTGGGTTTCGATACACTTAAACAGCACGTTCCAAACGGTACCAAGAACAAGAAAATGAGCAAGGTTGAGACGCTACGCGCAGCCGTACTATACATCAAGCAGCTTCAGGAGCTTCTCACCGAACAGGAAAACACGAATTCTGTGTTAGGAGAAAACATCTTGACATACAACATGCAAAAGAACCAGAACTGCTACCCTGAATCGGTTTCAGCATCAAACAGTAAAGACTCTGTTCACAATACGGTTATGCCACCATATACAAGCTCACAAACCGAGACACAACCACCAAGCTCACCTACTTCAAGCCTTGGTTCAGATGCTGCTTCCCCGCAGCAAAGCCTTGGTTACGACGAATCCTCTCCACGTGACATTCTTAATCCTGAAGACGAAGATCTTCTGGATTTCACTTCCTGGTTTTCTTAATTTGTAAGTATCACTTGATATTAAAACCAGCCTTCCACTTACACTCAATTATTGGTTAGTTTCCATTGTTTAGCCCAACATAAAAGTTATTAGCGGTTTGCTTATTTATGTTTTTTAAATATGGCTTTGTATTAGAGTTAAACATAAATTAATTTTACTGCGTATTTGTTGAAACATTAATTATACATGAAGGACTTTTATAAGGCCATATCTGTGTTCGAAATAAAGCTTAAACTAATAACTTACTCACATTTCGTTTTTGGAGCTTAATTTTTGTATTTGTTTTACTTATTTTTCACTCTGTTTTCTTTCTAACATATTTTGGAATTTGATATACTACTGACGACGTAGACGTGAGGTGAAATAACAAGGGGAGGGGGGTAGTCTCTAACATAAGCAAGGTGAGCTAGCATACTTTGGTACGTTGAATACTTTCTTGGTGCTTACCTGTGCGTCTCCGAATCGGGAACAATAACGTCCCAACCTCACTTGTTTACGTTTGTCAGACCAGCGCAGACAGTTGACTAGCTGGTAGTCTGGCTGCTTAACTTCAAAAAGACTTTACCGTGCATTTCTGAAATTTTTTTGCTCTATCATAAAAAAGAAAAATGTTCTTATAAATGAATCACAGAAAAAAGAAAGATGGCACTTTCTTTGTTTCTTCTCTGTCACGGAAAAATAAATATAAAACGTTTGAAGATTACATCATAGTAAAATATTAGCACGTTTAGCACATAGGAGTTTTAACGAAACATTCCTGGGTAGAACACAGTGAAATTGTACATACAAAGTAGAATATATAAATAAATATATATATATATTTGTTCATTTAGTCCTAAGTATAAAGTAATAATTTACCTACAACTAATTAGTTAAATGTCTACATCACCCTCACACAAAGACGTTCAGCACTGTAACTGTTTAGAGAAACGATACTCAAATGTTTATATTTCGTATTTTTCTGTTTTTTTTCACAGACTACCATTTGTGATGGGAATAAACTATAACTGGTTTTATGCAGCTAATAGACCACAACAAGTTCCGGTGGAATAAAGTTGTAATAAAACAAGGACAGTCCTACGTATACAATACCCATTGGTCGATCCAAGAGGGGAAGTTCCCAAGGAGAGATCTATACCATCAAGTCAGGGCCAGTTTTTATGCTCTAAAGAATATCTTTTGTCCGGCCTTCAGGCCATAGAGTGGTCAGCAGGGCGAAGCATATGGTCAGCCCTTCTCTATTACTTGGCAGAGTTGTGGGAAAATATCAGAAGAAACTACCATAAACTTGGACCGTAGAACCTGTTCTGCCTCCCTTACGGATGGTGACTTGTTCTCCCATGGGTCTAGACCGGAAGTTTCCCATTGTAGCAAGGTTGATGTACAGAAATCAAGTTTGTTAAGAAACGGATGTGAGAAAGAAAAAGTTTTATCTTAAAGTGGCTATTCTTCAAATATATATATATATATAAGTAAGGTATCTAGGAGAGAGTTATAGAGCGTTTCTTTAAAACGTTAACATTTAATTCTTATAAATTCCACTACCTTCTAAACTTTAAGGTATTCTAATATATATATATGTGTGTGTGTGTGTGTGTGTTGTCATGATTAGTGATTCAAGCTGTTAAATGAAATTTCATTAATCTTGTATATATATATGATTCAAGAGAAATCCACATACATTTTTTTAGCCATTTTAATATGTATATTTCTTATTTTGTTAATGACTAACATGAATAACTGAAATATCAATTTACTCTATGTATAGGGCATAGTACATAAATCTGCTATATTTTTCAAGAAACATTGCGAAAATCATGCTATTTTGCTACAATGTATACCATATTTTACGAAAGACACATTTTTGTACATATATATAAATATATTTTTGTAAAGATATACTTTCACACTTTTTATATTTCATAAATAAAATATTTAAATATCTCTCGAACTTGCTTGGTTTCTTTTGAATGCGTTGTAAAAACACACATATTTCTAGTCAGCTTTATTCAAACATCGGGCAACATCTTCCACAGAATACACAAACGTATTCAAACTATACGGACACAACAGAACAGCTCTTTCTGCTGGAATAATTTTGAGGTGTGAAAACTTTTCTTAGAAATGCGAGTATATATATTAAAATATTATTATATTTGTTTTTCTCACCATACCACTATTTATTTACAATGATATATATATATCTGCAGGTATGGTGACTTTATCGTGCTTATTTCATCCTCATGCTAAATACGTCTTAGTTGGATAACATTGAAAGCATAATCCTAACAGATTTTGTGGAGTTCTTGGCAGATTCTACATAACCATGAGGGTTGTAGGACAACTGCTTCCATGAAACCTGTGTTATTTTCTCCTACTTAAGCATGTACTTTCAGTACATAACCTTGCATAGTTCAACATTTTTATATTATTACAATAAACAAACTTTAACATGAAACCTGTGTTATTTTCTCCTACTTAAACATGTACTTACGCTACATAACTTTGCATAGTTCAACATTTTTATATTATTACAATAAACAAACTTTAACATGAAACCTGTGTTATTTTCTCCTAGTTAAACATGTACTTTTGGTACATAACTTTGCATTGTTCAACATTTTTATATTATTACAATAAACAAAATCTAACATGAAACTTGTGTTATTTTCTCCTACTTAAGCAGTTTTAGATAATTAATTCTTCTATGAACTACAAGAAATGTTTTCTTATTTTCGTCAAATATAATAATATAATAAGATATGGCTGCTCAGTTGTCCGGGGGTCAATTTTCCTACAAAGGCAATTGTCAGGTTACCACCATGAGACGTTGAAATTATATCTTAAAATGTGCAGTAACTTTAGTGTAGTGTTGGAAATTATCTTAGTCAAATTGACAGAGGCTTTGCTAGTCGCTGGCACACTGGGCCCGTGCCCGGAATCTCCAGTTGGTGTCTTGAAAAATCAGAATAGATCAATATCATACTGAAACGTCGAAAATTCCCGCGCCTGTGAGCCCGCGCCCGAATCTTTCAAGTACTCCGCAACTCGATATAAACAACTTCGATTAAAGGTACTCGATCTGTAGAAAAGAAACTCTGACACAACGGAAATTGTGGCTAATCATTAATCATATTTATTCTTACAGTAAAACATTCTATTAGTACACTGTCGTTGTTGTATTTTATCTCCAGTAAGAGCGAAACGACTTTTGGTCATTTCGCATCAAAGTGACAAATACTTTAAAACAGCGTTTCCCAAAGTGTGGGGCGCACCCCCCCCCCCAGGTGGATGCAAACGATTAGAGTAGAGTCAATAGAGAAATATTGCAAAATGAAGCGTTTTAATAAATTTTTATTAACAAAAATAAGTAATTACTACAACACATAGCATTTTAATGTGTAACCGTGTATTACATTTTGTCAGTTAACTCTTTCACTCACTGAAAAAATGGGGCGTAACAAACCATATTTATCAAAGGGTGGCATGGATGACAAAAATTTGGGAAACTCTGCCATAATAATAGTTATTCAGCACATACAGACATAAAATGTGAGCGTAATAAACAGGAGAACAATTATCCAAGTGACACGTGCGATAATCAGTTGACAAGATGACAACTTGCTCTAAACTTCGAAAATTTTTCTTGATAAAGCAGTTAAAGTTACACATTTTTAGTGATTTAATATATATTTGTAATATCTGAAGAATGATAATGCAGTGACTTTTCTGAAGCTGTTTCATGGCGTTAGATTTTGTTTGTTTGTTTGAAGTTAAGCACAAAGCTATGCAAATGGCTATCCGTGCTCTGCCCACCACGGGTATCAAAACCTGGATTCTAGCGTTGTAAGTCCGTAGACATACCGCTGTGCCACTGGGGGGCACCAACTACGTAGACAATTATCAAATGTCACTCTATATACCCAGTCACAAGTTAGATCATGTGGTCCTTGATAATATGCATGGAAATTAAAAAGTTCTCCCCATAGAGAGCTTAAGATAAATATGCCTTAAAAACTGGCTTGAAAAAAAGTTGAAAATTATTTTTTAAAAAGACTAAAACGTTTCCGTATATTAATTTTCGAGTTTCTTTTGTTATCTGTGAAAAAGTACGCCTAATAACTTCATGTGTGTCAGTAGTCACACTTTTTCTTATTCCCTGCTTTTTTTATATATATTCATAGTCTCAAGCGTGCGTGCGTGCCTTTTCCAAATGTTTTTCAGACATTATTCCGTACAGACAAACCAAGTCATGTTGGTTAGACAAGATACTCAAAGGTTCAGACACGCCCTTTGTTAGTTGAGAACTTGAAAGATTTCGTGTCATTTTATTGCAAGATGTCTTGCAGTACAACAGTGTATAAGATGTTAAAAAAAATAACAAGCACAGTATTTCCTTCATGCTTACTTGCCCAGCGTAATCGTCTTCTTCAGCAACGAAAAATAGATCCACAGTAAACTGTGGAAGTCATCGTGTCGCCTACTCCTGTTTTTTTAAAAAAAGCGTATCTAGACTAGCTAACTTGCTGTAGGTCAAGCTAAAAAAGAATGTATTTCTTTCAGCGAACAACGTTCTTCCCTAGGTGCTTTACGTTTGTTTTTTATAGCTAAAATCTCTACTGCGTTTTCCAAGATATGGGTTTCGTTAACTGTGCTACTGCGTTTTCCAAGATGTGGGTTTAGTTAACTTTGCCACTGCGTTTTCCAAGATATGGGTTTCGTTAACTGTGCTACTGCGTTTTCCATGATGTGGGTTTGGTTAACTGTGCCACTGCGTTTTCCAAGATGTGGGTTTAGTTAAGTGTGCCGGCACAGTTAACTAAACCCATATCTTGGAAAACGCAGTGGCACAGTTAACCAAACCCACATCTTGGAAAACGCATAAATTCAAAATTTCTTTGTTCACTAGCCGAGCAGTCAGTACGTAGAGTACTACTTGAACAAATGCACTCAATGCACGATTAAATGACTGTTCAACTACTCACAACATAAGGATATCT